CACATGCACGTGTACCTGTGATGAGTTGATGGTGCTGCTAAGAGTGGGGACTGATGTGACGCCTTGGAGCGTGTTGTTTTTGGGGTTGAGTTTGGTCTTTGAATCATTGGAGGCATCAGATGTTGTTGATTGGCTTCCTATGTCCCCCGAGGGGATAGGTCTCAAAAGCACATTCGACTGCCAGAAGAATATGATTTGTAGAATTTTATATGAGAAATGGCTAAAAATAAATACACCGTGTCGTCTGTCCGAAGAATATGACTTGTATTTTTTTGCATGAGAATAGATACGCTGTGTCGACTGTCAAAAGTATATGATTGGTTAAGTTTTACATGAGAAATGGCTATAAATAGATTCTCGGCGTCGGCTGCAAAAATATGATTGGATAAGTTTTGCATGAGAAATGGCTATAAATAGATACGCTGTGTCGACTGTCAAACGTATATGATTGAGAAATGGCTATAAATAGATAAGCTGTGTCGACTGTCAAAAATATGTGATTGGTTAAGTTTTACATGACAAATGGCTTTAAATAGATACGCTGTGATATAACCCAATAGGCGTGCGTGTATGCATGATCGCTCAGAGATCAGTCCGTCCGCAGCTGATGACTCTTGAATGACAGATAAGGATGTAACAACTGGCCATAAATAGAAGCGTACCTGCACCGAGACCCCACTATATACAGACCTAGCCATCAAGCATTGACACGTTCTCGTTCTATAAATAAACATAGCAGATATATTGGCCCATACCTGTGACCGGGTGGCGTTGCGGTCGGGTCCGCTGTTATTGTTGAGATTGCCTAGGTTTTGGCTGGTAAGGCTGTCAGAGATGGAGCAATGGTCAATTTACGAGGGGCGATAATAAGAAGACGAGTTCTATGCGAAGGTGGTTTTCGGGTTTTGGGGGTTGTAAGACTGTAAGAGAAAACAAGTGTAAACAATTAGAGAGGAATGATGATCGATAGCAGAGTCCTGTGCCGAAGCTGGTACGATTGACAGAGATAAGGGAATGGCCAATTGAAGAGGAGCAAAGACAGGAAAAAAAGAGGTTCAAACTAAAGCTGCTTAGACTGTTGAAGAAAAGGGAATGGACTAATGATGAATGGGCTTGTGATGAGGAACTAATAGTAATAAAGTTGGTGAGACCGTATTGAGAGACGAGTGTGGACCACTAACGAGGGATGTGCAATGAGACAACATGTGCGGCGGCTGCTGAGACTAAAACATGAACAGATCGGGATGCTTTGGACTGGGTCTGGTCTATCGGCCACCAGTATGGACTAACAAACAGCAGGTGGGACTACTAGAGCGGAGTATGGGCCAACTGACACTGACCGAACTGTGGACAATTAAACAGGAGTGTAGACAACTATACAGGAGTGTGGATACTAGACCAGAGGCATAGACAATTAACCAGGGAACAGTACACCCGTGTATGTGTAGGGGAGAGGGAAAAGGGGGGGGGGGGAGGAGTAGGGGGTATAATCTCCCAGCAGATGGTTTGAGAGTAGATATCACATATCACACAAAACACTATCGCAGGGAGGTCAGCAAGTGATGTTGGCCCGCCCAGCAGTGGCAGTATGTAATACACACTACACACACGGCTGCAGTGTACGGTATATGATCAACAACATCCATCGAGACACCCGCTCACTACGACAGCGCCAGACGTGCGAAGTACACTAGCATACCCTGCTGTGGACATAGGAACACACATCCACACCAAAACCCAAAACCCTGGAACAAAAAATTTAAATCCCGAAAGGTTTGCACACGTTCTACCCATACATTGGCATATGCACACACTCGCACTCCATCACTATCCTGCACATCCAACAACTCACTCATTTCAACCGCACCCCAAATAAACCCTAAACCCTACAACCCTGCACGACACCACCAGCACTTACCTAGGCCCACCCTCCAGATCCTTGCCGAGGCCCTTCCATTCGTCAGTAGACGCGACGCCCACAGAAGACAAGTTAGAAGGCTCCGCTAAGGATATCTTCCTAGATCCGCTAGCTAAGTCAATCAAGTCACACGCAGACTGCACTGACAGATCCGAATCAGACCCAGGCAGTGACGACCCGCTATGCGCGCGACGGGCTTTGCTGTGTAAACTGTATAGATGGAGATTGTTATGGGTACTTTATATATATATATATATATATATATATATATACTACACAGACTACTACGTAGTACGTACGACGACG